GGGGTTCTGAGAGGTCGACGAGCACGAAGTGTGTGACTGTTGGTGAAAAACGAGCCCGGCACAGGCCCGGCCGGCAACTCCCAACGCCTGCCCGGACCCCCCTGTGGAGTGATCTGTGAGCTCTTTTGAGTCAACTAGAAACCTATCAGTCTACGCTGTTAGGTAATGATCAAGCAAGACCAAGAAGCCCGGTGGGAGCCCGAGGAAGGCCTCTTCAAACACAATAAAGCAAACACGACCAAGGAACCCAAGGAACGACAGGGCCTCTTCGAAACTAGTAAGGAGACAAGACCAAGAAACCCAGGGAGCCCGAGAAATACTTCTTAGATCATATTAAAGCACCAAGGTAGAGGAACCTAGGAGCCCGAGAAAGGGTTCTTCAGGAACCGGGGCGAGACATTGCAAGGAAAGAGGCCAAGGACATCGGGGAATTCTGTTGTAGAGAAACACGAACGAAGAACCCCGGGGAATCCCGGCCCGACCAGGTCCGACACCCACTGGTTTCTTCAGAAACGCAGAGCGACCTCTAACGCAAAACCTGATTGGAAAACTGAACCAGTGCTTTCGCACCCCTCTTCTCAACAAGTTAAAAACCTGATTGGGAAACTGAACCAGTGCTTTCGAACTTCTCTTTTCAACATACTGATGGGTTCCCCGGGTTTTCACGTGGCCGCCGACCGTTGGAGGCCTAGGAATAAGCCTGCGAGACCGTGGGCGCCTCGCGCGCTGACTCATTTTTCCGGCCTCTCGCCCGATCGCCACACGCGGGCGTCTCGTGGGCGCTCCGCGCGCGGGCCACCTCTGCTGAAGTTTCGCCAGGCCGCTGCCCCCCTGGGCGCCGGCGGGGTCCTCAAAGGCCTCGCCCTGTCTCCGCCCTCGTGGGCGCGCGCTGTGCTGGCTGGCCTCCCCGCGCGGTCGCTCGGCCACCGCCCGTGGGCGAGTCGCGGGTGCCCCCCTTGCAGTGGCCGGGTGCCCCAGGCTCTCGCTCGGTCGCCGCCCTACGCCTCGGTGGCGGCCCGCACGCCAGCGGGGTTCTCAAAGCTGTCGCCTGGGGGCTTCGCCGGTCGCCGCCCCGCGGGCGCCCCGTGAGCGCATCACCTGGCGTGCACCACTTGGGCGGCGTCCTACAGGACGTAGATGCTCCCACCAGAGGTAGCGGTCCCCTTCTGGGTGTTATTTCTCGTGTGTATCCCGCACGATATTCCATCACAAATGCCCCGCCGGCGCCTGGCGCGCGCTGCTAGGCGCGCGTGCCGCCATCTTTCCGCAGCCACTGTTCTTCGACGCGTGTCGAGACAGAGTTTTTCAAAAACGTATGGAAAAGTAGATGTCAACCGAAAGCTTGTCAAGTGTCTTGAATTTCTGTGCGCGCGCACTTCCTCATCTTTACCCACATCAGCGCTGTCGTATCGCAGCCGTTGTTGTGGCCACTGCGGCCATTATCAGCCAATCACTTTTACCACCGACGCACGAACATCATCATCGTTACCGTCGTCACCAGCATCGCCGCCGTCATTGGCCTTGCCGCCGTCATAGTCGCCATCGCCATCGCTACCACCATCGCTATTACTATCATCGTTGCCGCCGTGGCCGACGTCCTCGTGAAATCGCGCCCGCCCATGCCACCGACCCGCACTGAAGCGCCCCTGTGGCAAGAATCCTTCGAACCAGAAGAAAAACACTGTCCACACGCGAGCGCAATGTCAAATTCATAGCAATCGCACCAGCTGTTCAACCATTTCAGCATACATACCTTGAGAATTCTGCCCCTCCAGAATCTGGCTTTTTTTGCCCGCGCGCACTTGCTGAAATCATGGGTGGACCACCTGATTTTAACAATCTCGCCCAGCACCCGCGCTATCATCCTACCACGTGGTACATCCGCGTTGGTCTAACATGTGCCCGGTACAAGATCCCTCCTCAAATGACACCATGAGGGCCACATGCGCGCGTACTGCCACGCGCGCATGTCGAAATCCTTCCCAGACCACTGGCTTTCAAAACAAGCCAAGATCAAGTTATTCAAGACACGTGTGACAAACCACAGGTTTCTCAACAAGGAATGTGTAAGATGTCTTGCAGGCCTGCGCGCGCAGAATTCCTCATCGCCCTCGTCAGCGCCATCACATCACCGACGTTATCGTCATCGGGCATAGCCGCTATTCATCACCGTCGCCGTCGTCATCAGCATCGGCGACGTTATCATGATCATCGCCACCACCATCGTCCTTATCATCATCGTTGCCGTTGTTGTCGACGTGCTCATGATCTCGGGCCGCCCCACCAACACTGACGCGCCCTGCCGCATGCACGGTCTTTCAGACGCGCTCTGAAGTCCCCACCGGTAAGCGCCATCGCGGCCGCATCCGCTGCGCCAAAGCAGCTGGTCGCTCCGTTCGCGAGCGTGCGCGCGCCAGCGCGGCCGCAGAGACGCGCTAGCGAGTGCCAGTCAGTAGCCGCAACTGCTGCCGCATGGGCTGTGTCAGACAAGCTGCGGGTCGGAAGGTGGGACGTTCGTGCGAGCTGTAGCGTTGACAACTCATTCGGGGCGTTAGTCAGTTCTACTTGCTAAAAGAAATATGCATTCTACCCCCGCCCAGACTTATTGGTACCCTGCCCCTATCGCCCATCCTGAATATGAGCTCGTACCATCCCAGGCAGCCCCTGCAGAAAAACTGCGCGCACACTCGTTTATCGAAACTCATAGCTTTAACTTATCCGTTGTAGCAAATGAAACGACGTGCGCACGCGCGCGTCGTCGCGCGCGCATGCCGGCTTCAAAAACATGTGTTCTTGGTGATCGCTCTCCGAATCGAAGGCCCGGGCAACATACTGAAACCACATGGTTCCCAACACGGGTTTTCAAGAAAAGCTTGCCCGCGGGCTCTTGCGGATTCTTACGACAATCATCGCTTCATGTAGATTGCCAGAGCATGCTACCAAACGGGCCTCTCGCGCGCGTGTCGGACTCGCATCGACGTCCTTGCGCGCGTGCTGTCGCAAGAACCCCCTGGACAAAACAAAACCGACATGCACACGCGCGCGCCGTCGCGTGCGCATGCCAGAATCCTTCAAACATCAAAAAGGTTTCGTAAGGATTTCAAAATCGAGTATTCCGACAGCAAATGTTAAAACAGTTGGTTTTCAACATCAGATTTCACAAGAAGAAAAGCCAGCGCTCACGGCTTTGTGAATTCTGGAGGACCCCTTCTTTTTGTGTGTGTGAGAGTGTGTGTGTGTGTGAATGTGTGTGTTTTTTGCGCTGCATGTCGAAATCGTTCGAACGCCCTTGCGCGCGTGCCGGGGGGGAGGGGCAATAGCAGTGTCAAATACCACCACGTGGGCCACTCTCGCGCGTCGGCCGCGCACGCGTGCCGAACTCCCAATTTCCATCACTGGCGCAAGGACGCCGTCATCGTCGTCGTCGTGATCAGCATCGGCGCCGTCACTGGCCGTGCCGTCGTCAGTGTCACCATCGTTACCAGCGTCGCTACGACTACTATCATCATCATCATCATTATCATCATCATCACCATCATCATCAATATCATCACCATGATCATCATCATTATCACGTTTACAGTTGTCGACGTTGCCATGATACCGCGCCCGCCGAAGTCGACGACTCGCACAGAAGTGCCCGCTGGAAAATGTCCAGCGGTCAGCGCCACCGCGGCCGCGTCGGTCGCGCCAAGCTAGCTGGCCGCTTGGCGCGCGAGCATGCGCGCTAGCGCGGCCGCGACGATGCGCCAGCCAGCGCCGAGCAGCCACCGCAATCGCCGCCACATGGGTTTCGCAAACCCAGCTGCGGGTGGGTGGGTGGGATGATTGCGCGGGCAGTGGGGTTGACATCTTCAAGTTCGGCTGGGCGAATTGCACCACATATTTCGCATCGAGGGTACAAGAGCCTGCTTTTTGGGCTCCATGCTGGCTGGCGTATCTACACTATACACATGTGTACATGCCGACGTGCATGAATACACCATGCCTGTATACCGTGCGTGCCCCAGTTGCCTTTTCAATACTGGGGGGTCGGGCGTTCGATCACACGCCATCCCTGCGCGCGTGGCGAAACAGGGAGCGTCCTTGTCGTCGTCGTCCTCCTCCTCCTTCTCCCCTTGTTGCGCGCTTACTCTGAATGATGGCAACACTGACGTGTCCGCGATCAGCCCGCTTGGCATGAGAGGAAGGGGCCCTGATGGAAACTGACCCTGGGCCGGGATCGTTGTTTCGTCGCCCACACCCATCGTCCAGAAGAAGTGGGTCGAACCATGAGGTAGGAACGCATTGAAAGTAGATTGGGCTTCCGTCCGCCCGCTTAAGAGAATCGAAGAGGAAACCCTCTTGGTTCTTGAATTCAGAAGGCGCTTCAAATTTATTGAAATCTGGGATCCCAACATGCCAAATCTTTTCGTTGCGCAGGGGCCCGCGAGGGGCATCCATGGGCCGAGAGGTGGGGAGCACCGCCCGTCGCGACTTCTGCCTCCACGCCTGGAACACGAGGCGCCCCCCTCTTGGCACACGGCCTGCCGGAGAGGGCCTACAGGGCAGTTTCTAATACATAATATTTTTTTTATAAAAAGCATCGGATTTTTAATACATGACTAAGTTCAAATAAATCTATGCATGTACTCATCGCTGTTTTTAATACTCAACCCCTGCATGTTCAATACACGATCCGCACGCGGAGCACTCTTAAAAACGGCACTGTAGGGAGGACGGGTCTGATCGGGCGAGCGCGCGCGCGCGCCTGTAGATGGCCGCCAAGAGGGAGCGGCCAAGAGGGGGGTGTCCAAGAGGGGGGGTGCAAATCATGACCGGCGGCATGTGCGCTGTGAAATCTGGGGAAATCTGGGGCAAAATCATAACATGCGGCATGACCGCCGCGACATAATGAAATAAGAAGAGGCGCTGTGAAATCTGGGGAAAAATCATGGCCCCCGCCATGATTTCCACCCCCCCCTAGTCATCCCCCCCCTCTTTTCCGCCCCCGAGCACGCCTGTAGATGGCCGCCATGCTGTCGAGCGTGATGAACTGCACCAGCGTCCGCTGCCGACCCCGTGGGTCGCCGGGCGTGCGGGCCCCCACGAGGTGGGGCAGCGGGGAGGCGGAGCCCCGGCCGAGCCCCTCCTCCTCCTCCTCCTCCTCCTCCTCCTCCTCCTTCTCCTCCTCCTCCTCCTCCTCCTCCTCCTGCCCCCTCCTCCTCCTCCTCCTCCTCCTCCTCCTCCTCCTCCTCCTCCTCCTCCTCCTCCTCCTCCTCCTCCTCCTCCTCCTCCTCCTGCCCCCTCCTCCTCCTCCTCCTCCTTCTCCTCCTCCTCCTCCTCCTCGAGGATCCTGGCGCTCGCTGCCGTCTCCCGTGCGGCCCCGCGTGGCCGGGCTGGATGCAGCTCGAAGGCCTTGTCAGGATCATGCCCTGGAGGGGTCCGTGGGCAGATTTTGAGCGGACTCGGATTGGGATCGGGAAGCACCTAGACGTTTGGACGTCGCGGAACAAGTACCGAAAATGCGGCCCCCAGCACCGCCAAGCAACAACCAGCGACAGACAAGCAGCCGTGGGGATCGCGTCGAGAGCTCTGAGGCCCACGTCGTGAACGAGCACGTCTGAGGATTTGGGAGGGGGGCGGGATGGTTTTGAGAAATTCTTGGCGGGTTGCGGATGTTCTTGTTGCTGCTGCCTGTGATCCTCCTCCACCTCAAACTCCCTCCCACAACTTCTCGGGCAAGGGCAACACCTGCGCGATGTTTAGACATGTCTGCTCCGCCCTCCTGCTTCTCCTGTCTCTCATCCCTCTTGTTTCTCCTCCTCCTCCTCCTCCTGATCCTTGCTCCCCCTTTTCGCCCTCGGGCCACTCTGGCCTCCTCCTCCTCCTCTCCCTCTGGCCCCCTCCTTCTCGTGCCCTGCATCCTCATCCTGCAGGTGGAGGTGCTGCGTCCACGGGTGCTGGGCAGGCGTGGCGAAGCCCGAGAATCAGCATGGAGCTCTCGATGGTGTCAAAGTGCACCGCCTGCGCCAGATAGCCCGGGTCGTCGCTGGCGTCGACTATCAGCTCCATGCCCGCTACGGCGAATATGTAGACGACGCAGAACATGATGATGCACGTCCAACACATTGGCAGCACGGAGTACATGAGTCCCTGGACCAGGAGCCACAGCGTGCGGAACTGCACGACCACTCGCACGGTTCTGGCCAGGCGGGCAAGGCGCAACATCTTGAGTATGTTGACGTTGCCCATCAGCGATGCCACTACCTTTGAGCTGATCTGCGACATGGCCAACACCAAGTTCAAAAAGCCTAAGACCACCAGGACGGTGTCGAACCTGACCCAGTTGCTCTTCAACGCCCGCACGGTGCCCATCGCGTAGAAGCGCGCGAGGAGCTCCAGAACGTACACGAGCATCAACACGTACTCGCAAACTTGCAAGCCCATCGGAATACTGCCACCTTGCAGGAGGAAAAACGTCTCAAACCATTCCGAAATTTTGAGACACAAACAGAGACTTCTGATAACATCTCCACGAACAGTCGAGCACTTCAGAAAGCATGGCGAGGCCTCCGAAAACTATGCCGAAACCTCGGAGGAGAGGACAGGAGAAAGGGGAGGAGCCTCGCACAGTGATAGAGGCCTCGGCCCCAATCGTTACAGCATTCAAGAGTATGATGGCCCCCATCACGAAGTCGAACAAGCGCGAGGTGACAATCTTGAACGCTAGGTGCTTCGTCCAGTGATCGTCGTCGACGAGGCCGGTTATCTGAGCGGCAGGCGGAGTGGGAGGAGGCAGAGAGAACGAGGAGTGGTGACTAAGGTCGCGGGTCGAGAGGGCAAGTGACGATCGGGGCAAAGGGGAACATTGCAAGATTGCCAGACTAGCTGCACAAGATGAACACGAACGTTGGAGCGTCAAATGTCTAACCATACCTGGGACATAAAATGTTCAGGGTGTTTGCTACGGGTATATTTACGCTGGATGCCCCACACCACGTAGTGAGGCGGAACCCGCCAGGACTGCTCATTCGTTCAAGACGGCTGCAGTAGCATCTCACATGTCGGCACACAGGGGCGACGATCAAGAGGAAGTCTCGACCCCTGCTGAGACGAAGGCAGGACCAGGATCAATTCGGGTGAAGGCGAATCGGGGATCTCTGAGATCTGGCGTGTACAGACATATCGGGCGCCCCAACCGTTCGAGAACCGTCTGGAGCGGTGTAAGATTGTCCGGAACGCTCTGGAGCACTCTATCCTCATCGTGAGCTTGCCTGACAGACCTCCAACGTCGTGACCTCATGAAACCAAGGGCCCCTGGAAGTCTTGACCCCTCCCCCCCTGGGGCCCCGCGAAGAGGCCTCCAAAGCGGTGCAAAAACTGCGAAAGAAGCCAGCCGTCTCGATGTCACCGTAACGAGGGATGCCTGGGAGTAGGTGGAGAAGAAGGAAGAGGGAGAGGAGGAGGAGGAGGGGGAGGAGAGGAGGAGGAGGAGGAGGAGAGAGGAACGAGGAGGAGGAGGAGGAGGGACGACGAGGAGGAGGAGGAAGGCGAGGAGGGGGGGAGGGAGGAGTAGGAGGAGGAGAGGAGGGAGGAGGGAGGAGGAGGAGGGAGGAGGAGGAGGAAGGAGGAGAGGGAGGAGGAGGAGGAGGGGAAGGAGAGGAGGGAGGAGGAGGAGGAGGAGCAGGGGCAGTGGCGCAGCCGACGGGAGCGCCCGATCGGGTGATCTGGTCGCTCCCGAAGGAAGCGGGTCCTGGACCCCAAGGCTTAGGTCGGGCATGTCCTCACACAGGCGGATTTGGGACGAACAATAAGAACACCCAAACAATACTCCAACAATACTAAGCGAGAGTCAAGAAAAACAGGTCCCCAGACTATTTGTGTGACTACTTTCTGGATGTTCCTCCCTGTAGATGGACATGCCCGACTGAACCCAAGGCTTGTCCCCGGGGACCAGCCGCCCATCCTGAGCTGTTTTTTTGTACTGTCCTTATGTCGGGCGTGTCCCCCATACAGGGGGATCTTCGACGAAACATAAAAAAATGCCCCAAACATGCCCCAAAAAGGACAAAATACCCCAACAATAGTCCCCTGACTATTTTTGGATTCTATCTTGACTATCTTTTAGGGTGTCTCTTATTTTGCGTCGACAACCCCCCCTGTATGGGGGACACGCCCGACATAGTACTGTCCCCGTGGCCCAGCGAGGGCCCTGGCGGGCAAATGTATACACATCCAGCGCGCCTCTGGCTTCTGGGGAGGGGAACCCGAAACTCCATACGGCGGGTTCGTGTCGTGCCGACCCCAGCGTTGGTTTTTGACACCGCAGGGATCGTTCAACCTTGAACGATCGGCCGTCTCCGCAGCGTCCAATCGTTCAACATCGATCGATTCTGGGCCGCCGGCGGCGTTCAACCTTGAACGCCCGCGCTGGGGTCGCCGCTGGTCGACACGACGCAAACCTACCGTATCGCAGTGGACGTGGACAGAAGCATTGCCCGCAGCAGCGAGGGCCCTGAGGAGCCCCGGCCCGCCCACCGCCTCAGGACCCGCCCTCTTCAGGACCCCGCCAGCGGCGCGCGGGGGGACGATCGCGGCCCACCGCGGGGGGGATGTCCCGGGCCGCGGACGCTGGCGAGCGTGGCGCTGCTCCGCATGTTGGCGATCAGCCGCTCCTCCTCCTTCTCCTTCAGCAGCTGGTCGCGCCTGCGCGGGCGCCCGGAGGGTGGGGTGGGGAGGGGGGGGGGGAGCGCGGAGGAGGAGGAGGAGGAGGGGGAGGAGGAGGAGAAGGAGGAGGAGGAGGACGAGGAGGAGGAGGAGGAGGAGGACGAGGAGGAGGAGGAGGAGGAGGAGGAAGAGGAGGGGTGCCACAGCACACCCCAGAAGCGCCTACGATGCTGTAGTACACCCTCCCGTCCCAAGTTCCCTCCCTGGACATCCCCCTCCCTAGACATCCCGAGAACCTGTCTTCTTCACTACGGGAGAGAAGCGTCTCCTTGGAGGGTATGGCCCCATGGGTTTGCCATATTCGAGCAGGAGCCCCGGTGCAGAATGAGCTGCCTTGCCTCCTTCCGACGCGTAGCCAGGAATACGAAGCGTTGGAACCAAGTAGCTCATCGAAGTGTCCAACGAAGTCCCCCAGTAGCTCACCGATGTGCCGGACCAGATCCAGCAAGCAGCGCGTGCAAGTGGTGTCCACGCCATGGGCACAGAAGAAAAACCAAGCGAGAGCCCAATTCTGAAGCCAAACCACCCTCCATCAGCGCAGCGGCTACACATGCTGAGGTTTCAAACCTTTTTACACCAGGAAGTCTCAAGAGAGAGTCTCGAGTTGAGAAAAGTCACCCATCCTTGTAACTTCTGCAGCAAGTTTCTAGAACACTGTGCGCGGCGCTAAGGCGAAAACTCCATGTTGAAAACCACCGGTGCTCCATCCTCACAGCTAGTGCAAGAGTTTGCGACGCATGTGAGCGGGGACTCGGCGAGAGCCCCAGATTGAAAACCATCCACCTGTGCTCCATCCTATACGCTGCTGCAGTAATGCAAAACGAAAGCGAGCGGTGCTGAGGCTAAATCTCAATTTTGAGAACATCCACCCTCCATGCTTATAGTTGCCGGAAGCTTGTAGTCTACGAATGTCCTCGGCACTAGCTCGAAAGCTCTATGTTGAATACCGCCAGCCCTACATATTCGTAGTTGTTGCCGGTGTTCTTAAACTTACCAAGTGACAGACGAAGCCAGTTCTTCACGCGAGGCAGCGTGTAATATAAACGCTCCAGGCACATGAGCGCATTGCGAGATATGCGACACTCTAAAATACTTCGCCGAACAACATCGGACAACGCGCGTCGCACACCTGCGCAGATCAGATCGCCAAAGGGACGGCGACGACAAGCACGACAAGGAACATAGAAAGGGGGACAGTCGAGGAGGAGGAGGAGGAGGAGGAGGAGGAGGAGGAGGAGGAGGAGGA